AAGAGGTAGATGTAACGAAGTACTCACTCTTCAGTCAGTAAGGAAAGACTGAAGAGGGAGGACGAAATCTGAAGTCCTTATATACTACAGAGAAGTGTCCATGACTAATCGAAGAGTGGTTAGTCACATGTACCATAGTGTGATGAATACTACAACGACGAAAGAATTGCGACATATCGCACCATAGGATGAGTAAGAGATGAGTAAGGCATAGACCTGTCTAGACCGTTCTGGAGTAGTACGGATTGTCCTAGACAGTACCAGAAGAGTCCGGAAGCATAGCTATAGTACACGAGCAGAGAGTCCCAAATATGGTAACATACTACATAAGTGACTACAGCTAAGCGCTAGGAGACGCATAGCCTCGTGTAGTCCGGACCGGATAAATCCAAGTTCAACACATACCTCCTGTACTGTGCACAATGGCTCGAGCTCTCAGTCAACAATCTCCTCCACGCACTCCAGGGCAAACTCCTCAAGAGCCTTCCTAGCGCCCTGGGGCCATACATGATGGTGTCGTGAGGAGGATGCGCGAGGGACCTTGTACCAGCGCTCGAGAATGCGGGGAAGCTCCTCGCTGCCCATAAGAGCGCTCTGCTCGTACTGGACCTTAGGGTCTGAGATGCATGGGGAGATACATATCTACGGAGTCCATAAAAGCCAAAATTGACTTAACGCGGTCGACAATGCTGGTGCGCGTGCGGGAAATCGAGAATGCGAGGCGCTCGCGCATGACCCGGGTGTTGTGGCGGTATATCGGTGGGATGTGAGTCTCGGGGGCAGCTTCGATCGGATCCCAGTCGGACGCATCGGAAAGCCGGTCGCTGCTGCACTCGGACGGAGCGTAGTCTTCGTCCTCCTCGTCGTCTTTGAAAAGAGCTCCCCATCCGTTGTGGAGCTCATCGGGTTCTGCCTCGGGTCCGCGAGGGTCCATAGGCGCGCACTAGAAGAGTTCCTCTGTCTGCCCATACGAGAGACAGAGCATAACAGACGAATTGAGTATGGGGGATGTATAGCAACTGCTCGCAAGAGTCAGAGAGATGTACCAGTTACGGGAGTATCGACGTCGAGCAGACGGTAGGCTCGGCGCAGTTCAAAGACGTCGCAAGATAAGCAGGCAGGCGCGCGCGACAAGACAGCTCGGACACGTCGGGAGAGAGGCAGGAAAGTCACACAGGTCACCGAGCGGGGAGTCACGGGGGTGGATCCACCAGACGTTCAGGAGCGCGGAAAGTCCCGGTTTTTTCATTTCCGCTCAAAGCTCCGAACGTCTGGTCACGAGACTAGGAGAGCGGGCGCAGGTGAGGAGGGGAGGAAAGGCCGACGGCGCTTGTTGCTATGGGCGCATCAGCGCGCACTCTAGTGTTGATGATCAAATTGCCTAGAATAGCATGAGGGCGCATATTGAGCGTCTAGGTTAGGGTTTGCGCGAAGAGGACCCGCCATTCGTGCTCCCTCCCCTCCCTCGCTGGTCCCCCGAGCCGGGAGCACTCAGGCGGGCACTCTAAAGCCTCGTTCGCGCGATAAATACAGACGGCCTCCCCTCTCGGGGTGAAGATGTGGGTGGCTCCCAACCCGAACCCAAACCCTAACCGAAACTCTAACCGAATCACCTATGTCAGGGGAGAGGGAGGTCTGAGACGGGCAAGGGAGGTCTGCAGACCTGCAAGGGCAATTAACCCTGGGGTCTGCAGACCTCGTTTTAGTCTTACCCTGAGTCTAGCTTGCTGATACATCTCACTTCTCAACTCTAGTGGCCCCGAATCACAGCGTCTCCAAGGTGTCACAAAGGGCCAATACATATCAAGACATCGGTAGATCTCTCTGCATTCGCCGACTATCGCGAAGCGTGGCAGTATCTTGGGTGCCAAGGTTCCGACCTAGAGTGCGCACGCTGCAAGAGGACAAAGTGCTCTAGTCGAAGACCTCAACTGAAGGAGACTAGGTGAGTACTTATGCGAGCACGCCCTCACTTGGCCCATATCGACATTTACATTCTGAGGTGTTGCTGCTTAGATGTAGCCAACTCGAGTGCGGTATTAAGATCGCTGAAGATCCACGAGTACATTGACCATTCGGACCCTCACGACGCGGACCGCCGCCTGCCGCCACTTATGACCATTTCTGCGCTACCACCGCATCACTGTACGGCGTCCAATAGCTAGACGTTCCCGGTATCAAACTAGGGTGTCCATTTCTAGTCGACCCTGGTCCCTGACTCGCATATTACTGCCTGCCCACCAGGTTTGTAGTTGCGGCGATTGGCATGTCCTGTCCTTCGGTCTTCTGCTGCAATAGCATCCCCTGTAATTCCCTCTAGGACTCTCTAACTCCAGGTCAAAGTTCACGACACGACACACTACAAACCGCTTTTCACTGCCGGCGGAGCAGGTAGAAATGAGGTCTCCGCATCCAAACCAAGATCCGATACATTCACAGGCATGTCATCCGGATGTCCACCTTCAATCGCAGCTATTGAGAAGCACCGTACACAATCTCAGAGAGGGGCAGACCACAGAAAGGAGCTGCCTACGATCAGACCACATATGGGCTCAGGCTCACCGGCACCGGTCACCCTCCATGCCCAGCTAGTCTGCAGAATGATCGACCACGCAGTATCCCTATACGTACGCTCTGCTCTCCCGTTTCAGAACAGCTTCACACCAGCAACAGAGAGCATTGGCGGCACTTTGCTTGATATCGCAATCCCAGTGGCCTGGGATAAGATCGACATCATGACGCGGGCGTACATCTCCAGGAGATGTCGTTTGCGGAGCACTTCCGCAAGATTCGACAATATTTATCGAATTCGGCAATGAAACGCCTTTCGACACCTCAACTGTCTAAACATGTGGGACGGAATAGGCGCGCATCTTTACGCGAAGGTCGTACCGAGTCAGATATGTAGCGCCCGCGAATAAGCATCACGTTTCTTTCTATCCAACGCTCTTGACCACACATGAAGCTTTGAAGCTTGGCCATTTTCAGTTGGCTTACACGATCACAGCACCCATCCCGAACAAGCACCCTCCGAGCAGCACCGTCGCCCAGATACCCAGCATCCGCGGAAGTCCCGTCCAAAAGTACGCCAAAATGCCCAGGAGAGCGAGTATGAACCCCAGCTGCGTCATCACCGCGATCGCAGTGTGGCACCGTATCAGCACAGTCACCATGGACCGCAGTCTCACCACCGGGTCGTCAGGGGTGGCTAGTGCCTCCATCTCATTCTTCACCCGTTTCTTGCGTGGGACCATGCCGCAGAGGAGATACTGCCGGAAGGGGACCTTATGTACTGAGACCAGGGAGCGGAGGTCGATGTATGCGTTCCATTCGGTGGCAGGGAGAGGGGCCAGGGTTGGGGCGGTGGAAAGGGACTGAGCATGCATTTGGTGGGTCTTCTGTTGCCCATCAGAGGCGGTGCACGGACGCTCGGTGGATTGTTCCTGTTTCTCGGCATCCGAGAGGCGATAGCGGATGAGGACAAAGGATGCAATGTAGGCGAGGATCGCTGTGTGAAGGGAAGGTTCGTCAGACGCTTTGATTCCAGAGACTACCACGCTTTTGACATAGTGGTTTGTGCGTTAGAGAGCCGATCAAGATGCAAGTTGAATCCGCCATTCAAGACGCGAGACACTAGGACACTGAGAGCCTGAGAGACACCTTGGTCTCCCCTGGTTGGACCCTGCTAGGCAACACACTCGGTGGGGTCGGAGTCCCACAGCGTCAGACCACCTGATTCGGGTCACATATGGTTTGGCTTGTACACGAACTGGGTATGATGCTTCGAAAGGGCCATTCGACATGCAAGATGCTGTAACGATAGTCCCTCACCGAAGAATGAAACCCCATTCAGGCCGATCACAAAGCCGACGAAGATGCAAGCTCGATCCTTCACCAACAACGTTGGAGGCATATCGAGATCTTCTATGTGCCCTGCTGGGCGACGCTCTCGGTGGATTCCCGTTGTGAAAATACCTCATTGAGCTTGCATACTGTTCGGCTCCCGACCCAACTGAACGTCTCGCAAGGCGCTGGTACTTACACGCGCATACATGGAGGATGATCGCCCCTCCCAAGCTCGCTGAGACGAGCAAGTCTATTGAGGACCAAGCATTGAAGTCCGGCGGGCGTGAGGGAAAGGAGTATACCATGCTGTCTATGGAGACAAAAAACGCCGTCTATGATCCGTGACATGCGGTATGTGCCATGCATAAACATACTGTAGTACGCGTCCAGGAGAAGAGGTCGTACTTACGATAACTGCCATAGCCTGAAGACGGTCAAGCCAGACTTGGACAACGGAGAGCAACGCTTGCTTTGTGGCGTCTTCCGGGGTCGCAGCGGGTGCTATCACCGACAGGTCAGTACGCGTGGATATGAGACAGGATTGTGGACAGCAGCGACTAACCAGCAGGAGCGGCAGCATTGAGCGACCTGAACATCGTGGGAGGAGCTAGATAAAAGTTGGGGCTCACAAGTAGCACAGGAATCCATTTATATCACGACTTCCAGGTTGGGCATCTGGCACTTCACAGAGGCAGCCCGATGATTCAGTTTCCATTCGAAGGCGGCGGCGTTTCGTCACCTGTCAAAGCATGTCACCGGCTTCTGACTGTCCGCCAGCTTCGTTGTACTTGTGTACACCTTTTGACCTGTAAAACATTGGGTCCATACCAGCTACATACGACAGGCATGTTGGACATTGACTCACCATCTGGTTGAGAGTTTGCCATCCAGCGCATTCATCGGTTGCGTGTCCCAAAGACCAAAGTCGTAGAGCGTCCATTGACGGTCGTGGGAACCCGAACCCGCCATCACATCCACGAATGGCAATACAAACGCCCAATGTCGCTTTCGACGCGAATTTCACGCATCCATGTGCTGATATTATGGCGATCTTCAACTTGAGACATCACCACACGCAGTCTGTTGTCCTCCGTCCACGTCTATGCCAAATTCAGACAGTATATGCTTCTCAACCGAACGACAGCCAGAAAATCACTAGGAATGGAGACGGGCTGTGGCACTTTTGGTAGTACCTGTACCCGGACGGGTGTATGCCCGTGTTACTCAGGTACGGGTATGTATCTATCGAAGATAATGTAGAGCTGAAAGCAATCATCACGACTAGTGTACCACGCCCGCCCTTTGCATGCCTTATCCATCACATCATGCCCCCCGCCGTCAACAGTGCCCGCTCCCTACACACGATCTCCCTCGACATCGACACCTGAGTCCCCACTGCTGAATCCGCAGAATATCCAAATGCCACGCACCACATAGCCGTGTCTGACTCTCTGAGGAGATGAATCTCAAGTCTGACCTGCAGTGCATCGCTGAGCTCATCTGGGCGTGCGGACGGAGGTCACCTTGAGGAAGGGACATGTTGTCGCGTTTGTGCTGTGGACCCTACCCGAGATCGGTACCTACTCAGTAACCAGTTCAACCTGTACGCAACATTGGGTACATGGATATCCGCCCACGCGTACGGGTTTCACTCCCAGACGGGTGTATACCCGTACCCGTGGCGGGTAGTAGATTCTACAACAGAACATGCGTGTTTGCCCGCCTATTAGGCGTGAAAAACATGCATGTTCTGTGCCTGCCTATTCAGATTCTGCCCATCCCTGCCCGTCCCTGCTTGCTGTTCGCATTTTTTCCCTGTTTACTACTTGTAGAACAATTACCTCCAGCTAGCCATCCTGTTTGCGAGCCAAAACGAAACGAGTAACAACAAAGGTTATCGTGACGAAAAAAAGGGAACGTTACGCATTCGAACGTAGCGCTGTGTTCAGACGCTGGAACGTGGTACTACTGACCACTCCGCCATACAGCCATGTGATGACAGATCGCCCATCCATCAACATGACGATCCAGGTATGGCGGTCGGCGCAGGTATGCATCACCGTAATCACCGCGTTTAAGGACTTTCTGGTTCAAGCGTGTGTACGTTAGGGAGTATCAGCGAGTAGCAGCTAGTTGTAGGACAATAAGCAGATAAGGCGCTGTAATATGTGTGTGAACGGAAATACATACAAATGACTTTAAATGGATAGCAACTGTATGCGTAGTGCACGTGGCAAACGCGTCGCGTCGTCGCGCCTTAAAGAGTATGTCAATAGCCTTACATGGTCATTGTACTAACAACTATCCGAGCTTGAACTTTGAGGCCTAGTGGCAGCCTAAAAGTATCTGTGAATAGATCAAAGCATCCAATCCATACCTGACAGTACACTAGCAATTCGGCCACTCCAAGGTGTCGCGAGTTCCAAACACTTCCAAGTCGTTAGTCTACTCACATATGGTTTGAATTCAATCCAGTAGCATCGTCGCTCTCTTGCAGCATTCTCGAATGGCTCGATTGATACAAGCTGCTATTGACGGTCAGCTTGCACCTTTGGTTTGGGGGAGCCTTTCGGATATCTAGTACTTACGGATGGGAAATTTTTTGTCGCCGTACGCACAGATTACTTCTTCCTCCCTCCCCTCGTAATAGGCTATGGCAACAACTAGTGGTAGCCGCCACCGCTTCTGCACTTGTCCGCCATGCAAACAGCTCGACCCCATGGGGCAATGGATCTCAACTACTACAGCTTTGAACCACGAGAGGGTGGCGCGGATGATGGGGTCTCACACATATCAGCGCGGACGGAGTCGAGCAACCGTGACAGTATCTCACGGCTGCGGTGCAATGCCACGAGGCGGTCGGGGTGCTACAACATTACGAGGTGGCCGCGGTGCCCCCCCCGCGCGATCAGGGACTGTTTCTGGCACACAGGCCAGCATACCCATGAAGCGCGCACGGACCCCGTCACCCCTCAACACACCTCTCAGGCATGAAGCCCTGGATCCATCGCCTTTCGATGAACTTGGGGAAGTTGATATTGTCGACTACCCGAGTGGTGATGCGGTCGGCCGGGTTCATGATGAGGACTGGCGAGACTTTGCAACGGTTAGTATATATATGCGTCTTTAAGATCTTTTCTTGGATGTTATTCCTATAGAACATCAATCCGCCCAGCGCGGACAGTGGTTTCCACAGAGAAGACGCGCATTTTCGCGACGTCAGCGGTAGCCCAACGGCACAGACATTCGATGAGCGCCCCCAGTACCACGGCTCCAATACTCAGCCTGCACGCTCACTTGGTCTCTATGACGACCCAGACGACCTGGATGCTCTACAGCTCCTTGCGGAAGATTTTTGTCCACAACAGGTCAATGTCGAGCCAGAGGAAGAGGACGACGGGTCCATCTCCATCAGCGCTGATAGAGATGCGTCAAACCTCTCACCGGCGACCAACCCTGCCGGCGACACCGCTCAAGTCGCGACGCCAGCGATGTCTACTGGGAACAACCTTGGGCCTTGTCCCGGTCTCTCTGAGCCTCTGCACCCGATGTTTGCACGAGCTTGTGATCTCCCTGATTTTCCGCCTCCTCGGCCTGCTTCCGACGTCTACGCTTCAGCCCACGATCTGTGGTACATCCGCTCCGTCCTCCTGCTCGTCGTCTTCCTACACACTCACCATCACGTCACATTCCATGCTTGCAATCTCACCCTCTCCACACTTCGCGTCATATTCCTGGCTCTTAAGCTCATCAATGCTGCCGATCCCATGCCCACGGCGCTTACGACCGCCCTCAAGAGGCTTGATCTTACTGACCATTTCCACGTGCTCATTGAATGCCCCCAATGTCGACGCCTTTTCAAGCCGGAACTCGTCAACCGCCACATGAAGTGCCCTGAATGCGAAATCCCCTTGTTCAGCCAAGGTCCCCGGAATGTCTTATTGTGACTCCTCGGACGTCCTCCTCCTACACCCATCCACAAGGCTGTCACGCCTTTTCGACTCCTTTCTTCCGCCCTCGTGCACTTATTGCGCCAGCCGGGCATCGAGAGGGAACTAGACGTGTGGCGCTACAGACCTCCACCACCTCCTGGTGTGTACTCCTCCATCCAGCACGGTCGTCGGTGACAATCTCTCCGGGGGGCCGATGGTCAGCCATTCTTCGGGCCCCAAGGAGGAGACGAGCTCCGGATAGGAGTCATTCTTCACGTAGATTGGTGAGTCCTTTGCCAGCGCAATCGAGATCGCGAATGCTCAGCATGGTCATCGTCACGGTACAATTGTGCTCACGTCGGCCACAGGTTTTCGGCTTCTTCGAGTGCCTTCAGTGCGTCGTACTCATCGGGTGCTATATCGTTCTCAATTCCTAATCTGCCACCGGTGTTACGGTGCGTGCACAGTTGAGGACATCACTCTTGATACACTCTAACAGTGGACATAGGTATCACATAGAGAACCTCATCCTGAGCGCGATGACTGATGGTCCAAAGGAGCCTGACGCCGAGGAGGTACAGCATTGGCTCAAGTTGGTCGTAGATGACCTTCTCGTGCTGTTCTACCTAGGGATATTCGCGCCGACAGAGTCGCGCAAGGATGGTACATCAAGTCGTGAATTTGTTTTGAGATGCTCCCCACTCAATGCATTTTACAGGCCGACGTATGAGGGTGGCCCTGGTCTGCACGTGTGCTGATCATCCCGCCATGTGCAAGGCAGCCGGCTTCGCGGACAAAAGCCACCTTAAAGCGCCTTGCACTCAGGGAACAATTGACACCAAGAATATGTATTCAGATAAATGTCTGAAGGGCGGTAAGAGTGTTTTGAACATTACGGTGTCGTTCTCGTGCCTGGCGGACAAGCTGCCTTCCGAGCGCTTTCAACTTCCACCTGCATCTTATTATCCATGCTCTTGGTTCTTCCCCAGTCTGCTTCAACTATCTTTATCACCGAAAAGAAGTGCATGGACCACAGCTAATTGATGTCTTATTAGGATGTCCGCTGAGAAGCGCAGAAGTTCACGTCGCTCGGGCCCGAGCATGGCAGGCGCTTGAGGACAAGAAGGAACATGATGATTATTTCAAGTCTTATGGGTTGCGGTGGTCCGAGCTAATGCGACTTCCTTACTACGACTGTGTCGCTATGACGGTAATTGATCCGATGCACAACCTGCTTCTCGGTGAGTGAAGTTTTGTCTGTTCATTGAACACATGCTTGCTGACCAAATGGCACGTAGGCGTGGTGAAACATCAGTGGTATACGCACTGGATTAAGGGTGGTGCTTTGCGTGCTGATGCGAAGGCGGGCACAAAGCAAGAACTGTCTGTGCTGCACAGATTCCTCGACACGGTAAGCGGATTCGTGATTTTCAATGTTGCCTTCAGTGAATGTTTGCTTTTCCAGTTTGAGGCTCCTGAGTGGGTTGGCCGCCTTCCTCTGCGCGTCGGGGAGCCTGCAGGCGGTTCCCTCATGGCAGACGAATACAAGTTGATGATCATTTGCCCAGGTATGATCATCGTAAGTTGCGCTTATCTTGTGGACACCCTGGGTCTCATCGGACTCTCTCGAACGCAGTGGAGTTCTCGCTTGCTGTTGTGGCATTTTTCATATTGCTGATCATTCTGATGTGTAGCTTCCGTTGATATGGATCAAGTATCTCCCAGAGGCTCTCAAGGACCATGAAGGCGCGTACAAGAAATACGAAGCAGCGCTGCGCAAGCACAACGACACCGCCCAGAAGCATGAATCCGAAATCCAAGCCCTTCGCACTCAGGCCGCATCCCCTGATGTCGATGCAAGACAGCACACCAAACTGGACAAAAGGATCAAAGAGCTGGTGGCAAAGGCCCTGAAGGCACCGCTCAAACCCACCCCGCGCATGCAGGAGGCTGAGGTGCCACTCATGTTGTCTCTTGGCGGGGGGCTGAAGCTTCTTTTGGGTAGCTCGACGTCTGCAGAGCAACGTCTCCGTGGCGCAGGACTGCTCTTCTCATATCTGCAAGAATTCAAGCGTGTACGTATTGATTTTACCTTCCTCAGGGCCTTTACAACACGTTGACACGTCCCCTCCTTCGGCATTTTTCGTCGCGCATTCAAATGGGCATCATAAACTCCCATGCGACTTGACCGCTTCTTGCCTTGCCAGATTTATGGGCTCGATGCCATGGTGCCGAACCATCATTTTGCGACACACATCCCCTCGCAGCTCGAAGAGTTTGGGACTGTCTATGAAATCTGGGCCTTCCTTGCGGAACACCTCAACAAGACGCTGAAGAGCACTAACCAGAATAACCGGCACAGAGGCCAACAAGAGGTCACGATGATGCGCGAGTTTGATCGACACATGCAAGTCCGGGCTATTGTACTATTTGCTTATTCTGTATCTCGGACGTCCTACTGATGTGAAGTCTTTGTTGCCCAGGTCGAACATGCATCCACGCTCCCACCAGACGGTACAAATGAAGTTGACGTGTCGCGCTCAATAGCGCAACGTTTTCTTCATGAGTCGCGCGAGGCTCGCGGGACTGTGGAAGCGATAGGAGCCACCCATGGTCGTGATCCGGCTGTACAGGATGACAGCACGTTCTTTTTTGTTACCCACTACTTGAGACTCATAAATACTCCTTGCAGCTTTTTTGGCGACACCGATCGGCCTTGGGGTGCGCTCTGCACGATCCGTGCAAACCGACGTCGCACTGTGCGACGAGGTCCTCAGGTGGTATGCGCAAAATGAACCCCGCGCGCCAAGCCAAAGAATGTTTCACGCATATGATCCTCATGCGCCCAGTGGCGCGACATTTCTTGATCCCACAGCCCACACCCTGAGCTACATTGTTCTGGATGGCCGGCGCATCACTCCGAAGACATCCTCAGGCATTGTCAAGGTCTCGCTTCAAGACACCCTTACATCGCAGGCGACGTAGTGCGGCTGCTACTTCATCATCAACCGGGCTATTCATTGCCCACGATTTTTGCAGAGGTTAAGTGGCTTATTCCCGAAGACATCAACCAAGTGGCGAACAATCCGTGGTGTGAATAGTAAGCCATCTTCTCTATTTGGGGCATAACAGAGCACTGATTTTTTTTCTGAAATACAATGAGCCCGGAGCTCAATGTCAGGTGTTGGAAGTATCTCGAGCATATGCCATCTGGCAGTTCTTCAGGACTTCCTCCATTGATTCCTGTGACTGCAATCTGATGCCAGCTGGCCCGCGGTGTTTACGACCTCAAGTTACCGCGTCTTTGGCATACTACGACGCTTGGAGGTGTACGTCATATCATCTTCTTGGTTGTCCTCAGGACTTGATGCGCTGACTTCCCTCAGGACGCTATCTCGATAGAGTCGCTAGCAGATCTTCGGGCTGGTGAGGGCGGGCTATCGTAAATCAGGGTACGTTCTACTGCACCAGCATATCCCGATCTTGCGTACATGTTCTAATGATAACTATGCTCCTACAAGACAGTGAACGTGTCGCCAGCGATGATCATGCAAGAGTTGCACTTCCAGATACCGACGGTCTGGGGCTTCAGCGAACCGTAGATGTAATCGTGAATCATTCCTTTCTGGTTTTCACTAGCTCGTTATGATAGAGCTTCATCAACAATTATTGAGATGTTACATGCACGCGATTTGCAGCCCACAAGAAGTTCAAGTTAATCCTCTACCGTTCCTGTCACCAAGGGGTCACCGGTACCATCATCCGTCGGTGTCACGTTCTCTCCGAATCCAACAGGATCGGGATGCTTCAACCAGTCACCTAGATACCTGCTGTCAGTCAGTTTCACCCTCTCATATCATTCCATATTAACGCCAAAGTTGTATGGCGCATAACCGGGAATCTTGTCACTAGATCGGCCCATGTCGCGCACACGTTCGACCATCATCCGGAGCGACTTCTGACACAAGGTGCTGTTATGGATCTCCGACAATTCCCTGTATATCGTGGACAACTACAACGCAATTGTGAGTTCAGATTCTCCACAAATCAACTGTGCGGCAAACCTCTTCTGATCGCCAATTTGGTCTAATCACTTCAAAAAAGCTCATTTTGGCCAGCTAGGCGTCTGACTTCCCCGTTACTCCAGCCTTTTCGGCCATCCAACGTCGCCATTCTGTAACTGCGTCGTCGGTCTCGTCGTCCTCAGGTCCGCTTGCCTCATCAGACATCAAGTCGGCCGAAACCAGGTGTCCTGGGTCGACACCGTGTATTTCCAGGTACCTCGATGCCATGCTAAATAGGTTGTCGCTTTTCTAGATGTATCCAAGTAGTTCATACGACAGATTGTTGACATAGCAACGGTACGTACCTTATTGCGACGATTTTGCCACCTTGACGCTCGCTCATTTTTTTTGCGCTGGATGGCTTTCTCTTGATCGACTTCGCTGCTATACACTGCTCGGAAACCCCGGAAGCTTGTCTTGGCGCATTCGCGCAGAAGAGCATACGTCAATTTGACGTTAGGGGCATTCATCCATGTTGCATAGACGGCGGAGTGGCTCTGGTGAGTGCCGGAACCAGTTGTCCCGCGTCAACGTTGCAAGCAGGTCCGTGATCCACGATACTAGGTCAGTCTTCTCGCCTAACTAGTGTGCAATAAATATACTAATTACACACCTTCAACTGTTGCATAGAAACCTTGGCAACTCGGACGAGTAGATCGGGGTTGACCGACTCATCTACTCGTGCCTCGAAATTCACCGCCATCCCTGGCATGGTTTCGCCCCACTTGGGCCATTTGTCTTCTTTGCTGACACCCGTAACCAGCTGAAATTGTTTTCCCACAACGTTCTGGAAGGTAATGCATTCGTAAGTACACGTCCGTCGCCATATTTCTTGAGTCCCTTTGACAAAACGGCCGTGCAGCGCGAACACATTGTACTGCACCTCACTGAGCAGTGTTGCACCACCACAGGCAAGTGTTGCTACAATATCAAACCTGGCACGATGTTCACTGACTGCGTCACCAGCCCGCTTTCAGCCATCATCATATGATCTAGGTACGCAGAACTGTTCTGCGAGAGGCGGGTCAACTCACTAAAATAACACGTCGTGCCTGCCGCTGCACGAGATCCAGGTTTTCATGTGTGGTTTTCAACAGAGCAAGAGGATCCAAGTCGTCCTTGACAGCAAATGGGTCGGGCACATACGGTGTGTCATCCAGATCGTTGTTCTCTGCGCCGACATTCCGGCCAGGGTGACGATGTGTTAGGCCATCGTGCGCCGTATAGAGCGGGTTTCGGTGACCGCGTGCGAGGGCTGGGGTGATAAACTCGGGGCTGTGAAGACAAAGATTAGATCCGACTAGAGTCGAAGCAAGACTATCTTCAGTCAGTAAGGAAAGACTATATTGCAGTAACCAACTGTACCTAGAGTCGAAGCAAGACTACTAAGGTTAAGTAAGTAACTACAAGTGAGAGGTAGATATAATGAAGTACTCACTCTTCAGTCAGTAAGGAAAGACTGAAGAGGGAGAACGCAATCTGAAGTCCTTATATACTACAGAGAAGTGTCCATGACTAATCGAAGAGTGGTTAGTCACATGTACCATAGTGCGATGAATAATACAATGACAAAAGAATTGCGACATATCACACCATAGGATGAGTAAGAGATGAGTAAGGCATAGACCTGTCTAGACCGTTCTGGAGTAGTACGGATTGTCCTAGACAGTACCAGAAGAGTCCGGAAGCATAGCTATAGTACACGAGCAGAGAGTCCCAAATATGGTAACATACTACATAAGCGACTACAGCTAAGTGCTAGGAGACGCATAGCCTCGTGTAGTCCGGACCGGATAAGTCCAAGTTCAACATGGGGGCATGGAGTTAACTAGTGCGGCTGTTTCTAGTTCATTATCGTCATCAAAGAGCTGAGGATCGATTGCAGGGCTGCTGGATACAGATTCGGACAGCCCACTGTCGGATAGACGGTGATGGCGTCCATCGGAACCGCGCTTTAGGTGAGTATATGCGCCCTCATAATATCTGAAAAAACAATGCACACTAATAGAGACGTATCTTGCATCATCAGGTTGTTGCGCGCTCGCCTCTCGGTGGTATGCAGG